GGAAAATGAAAGAAAAACACTGGAAAACTAGCGAAAACAATTGGAAAATTGATGAAAACTGCTGGAAAACCAATGAAAAAACAAGGAACCCAACCCCGAACCCCAAAAAAAAAATGCAAAAAAAAATGCCAACTTAATTCCGCGCCCTTTTGGATTTCGTTCAGCACATTCCTCGCTTTTCAACATTTTATCATAGGTCTCATTGCGACACTCCTTAATTTATTGTCGTAATTGTCCCCACCTATTCGATGGTTTCCATCCCCGAACGGGAACCTCATCAATTTTCCCATCGGCAGCTCATTGTCTTGACATGTCCCCTGATTGTCCGGGATTTCTCCGATTCTTTAATTCACTGTTCACTTGCTGTAGCCCAATACTGAGCTCCACGAAAACATCCCCAGTCCTTGTCCTACAGTCTCGACATGCGCAGGTCGAGAAGAAGAACTCCGGATCGTGTTTTTCGGATCAGTGCAAAGGCGCACGCCTTGGCCATGCAGGGTCGTCAGCCACCTATGGGAGGTCAGAGTTTGATCATCCGGGGGTTAGCATTGGAATCCAGTTACTATCCGGTTTCCTCTGGGTATCTTTTCAGTGGTCGTCATCGGATTTCCGACGTTTCTTTGTGGGAACCCACTGTCTGGACATTTGCTAGTGTTGAAAACTGCTGTTGCTATCATCTTGAGCGCGACCCTTCTGGCGCTATCATCTTGACAGCGTACCCCACTTCCACGGTCTGAAGATCCCGATAGCAGTTTGCCGGGTCATGGGGTTCCTTTGTAGCACGGCCCACCATTGCAGCGTAAATTGATTCGTGCAGCTGTTTGCGTTGGTCACAAAGATTCCCCGCACCTGTCATGACACTTGGCATGGCTGGATTCATCAAGAGGCACCTTCAATACAGCGCAGCATAGCGGAGCATGAGGAGCGGGTACCGTAAGTAAAGAGTTACTCCCACTGTGCCAAACCCGCTGCATGACGGCAGGCCCATGGCCACTTCCACGCCTCCGTCTCTTCAGCTTGAGCGCCCGAGTCGTCAAAAAGTCTTCAGGCCGAAAAAAATTAATGGAGTTTCCAAGGGCCAAGGAAGAACATCCCTTCAGGGAGAAGTTGCGAACACTGGGATAGTCAGAACTGTTCTTCACTTTGCGGACGATGCGCCGCAGCATTTCGAGCAGCCTGACAGAAGTTTGCGTCCTACAATGGCAACAATCCACGCAATCTACTGACGAAGCCAGTTGGATTCACAGCAAGCAACAGATTTCACAAACATTTTTGAATATGTTGGACCATTTGACTATGAAATGAGTCTCTGCAAGCTGTGTGTTGGGTGCATGTTGGATGTCATGTAGGTCCAGCACCAGAGCTTCGCCTACTTTACACAACAGGTTGAACTGAATAAACCATTTTGTGACCCTTGATCCTTCTTCTTGTTCCGTTTGGTCGAATGCTGCATTGCCCGTTTAGCCAGCAGATTGAAGGAAATCAGACAGTTGCGTTGGGTGGGGATACATCCCCCTTGACAGCCTCGGCATTTTTGGATCCAGAATTCAATCAACTTGCACTGCCAAGCGCGCGTTTTGCCATTGCACCGGCCTTCCAGTCCCTGCGTCAGCCGGGATGCCCAGTCAACGTGGAACCGGTTCTACAGAGCAGGTGGGTTCTACAAATGGCTGCATTGGAAAGATCGATTGAAAGATTCGGGTGGAAATCACAGCCCTGTCGTTGATCACTTTGGAATGTAGGAGGTGCGCGCATTTCACAATCACGCATGCTTCAGTGGGAACAGACGAGAAGTAATCATTTACGCTTTGCGTATTGGTTGGAGCATTCAAAAACCACATGTATTCATCATTGAAATCCGACCAAATTTTCGAGTCAGAAAGGCAATCATTTTGAAGAGAATCAACAGAAAATAGATGAAAATAGATGATGAAAGAATGGATGAAGCCACACTTGTCCTGACGGGTGGCTGCTAAGGACTGAACCCGCCAAGCAGAGCCTCCTTTTAAGCGTTTTTGCTGTTGACCTCAGCCGGAGCCCCAAACCAATTCTTGGTGCAGTCTTGACCAAATTCTTGAGACACAAAACTCAGCATTTGACGACAAACCCAGTGCTTGTCCTGACTGATTATGGCTGCTGATTGCCTCGAAGGCAAGGGCTCATTGGACCCACCAAGTAGAACACATTTCGACTGTAGTTGCTGCTGGCGTCAGCCGGGGCCTGAAACAGGTTCCGTCGTGGTACAGTTTGCTCAACAACAGGATTAACTTCACAGAGGGCTGAAGGGTTGCTGCCTTCACTATCCTTCAATTACCTTGCCAAATCTCTTTTCGATCGCGTTTAGGTCTCACAATGGGCTGCCGCATTAGTCGTAGAAGAACTGCCCAGGCGGAGAGAATTCCATTCAGCTCCGGGATAAGGGGTTTGGCTCAACTTACATGGGTGCACGGCATGTCTTTTTTCACGCGTCAGATCTTGAAGCCTGCACAGCAAATCAGCACACCCGAAAAAGTGTCAACGTATTTATGATATAAATACTTGAAATATACACAGACATGAAAACTGATTGGTCATAGTTGTAGACATGTATGCATATTCAAGTTTCCAACACGTTCACTGGCGGTCGATTGTTTCCAGGACATGTTGCTGCCGCTAACAGCGAGCAACTTGGATGGCCCTGAGACTGCCCAGACCGAGGCAGGAAACGACAGTGAATGGCACATCAAGACGAATTCCTGCAGCCGTTCAGCTGCAACTCGGTCTCAGCCTTTCAGCTTGGCAGATACCTTTCCTCCAAGTGGAGATGGACCGGCCCTTCGCATCAAGTGCAGAACAGGGAACCAAAGTGGAGATCGAGGCTCATATCGCTGGGCACAGTTGCTAATTCCCATGATAATTATTTCTAAACATGGTATCTAGACTGTTAGACCGTAGAGGCACGTTCTCCCCCTTCACTTTTGTGGCATTCGTATACCTCCGGAATCAAGTGGACAACAGCTTCAAAGAAACCAGATCAAATTCTGTCGTCCAAATTCCCTGCTTGCGACCCACTATGCAACTTGGACACCACTAATCTAAAGGATTTCGATTCAAAGTGTGGTGAACAAGGACCGGTGTGGAAGCTGTGTTGAGCAGGCTGATGTGGATCCAAGAGGGGTTAAAGTGGTGGAGGCAATCTTTCAACTTCCAAGCTTTCCCAAACCGAGCACCGCAGAAACTTAAAGCATATGTGAGGCACAGCGGGATGGCATCAGAGCCGGGGCAACCAAAGCGAAGACCGAGGCTCTGGGCACAGTTGCTTTGTCTGACGTTCTCGTGGTATCCAAAGATATGATATCTAGGTCGGTAGTCGGTAGGTGCCGTGTCGTCCCTCACTCTTGCACGGCTATGTTATACTAAATCGGTTTCTGCCACCCAACTGGGCTGCTTTCTATAGTGGATTTCCTGTGGATGCGTTGTGAACAAGACCTGTGGAAGTTCTTTTCTTGAGCAGGCTGACGTGAATCCAGGAGAGATTGAAGTGGTGGAGGCTACACCCTGGACTGGCTTCAACTCAACCTTTCAATTTCCAAGTTTTTATCAAACGTGATGAGATACAAGAAGCCGCCAGGGTGCTTGCTAGAGCTTCATTGCAGCAATGGCAGGTTGAACACTTGTCCACTTTTCAAGTATTTAGGTCTCAAGAAACGGCCCATTCCACAATCAGAAATTTCATTGAGCTTGTCTTTTGACCCTTTGAAACTCCAATGTTAATGACCTTTACACTTGACAGATCTTGACAGCTGATGTTGTGCAAACCAAAGTGGACCTTTCGATGTGTGTCTTCCAGCGTCTTTATTGCGGCAAGCTCTTATACTGGTTCAAAGGAGGGCCTATGATACCATGACCAGTAGGATATTTCCAGTCAAAGCAGTTAACTGCTTGTGGAATCAAGGAAGCTGCACGGACAAGTCATGAACATGCGTTTTTTGGAAGCACGCTCGATGCCTCAGGCCAGTCTCAGGGCCTATTTCAGGAACGACTACAAGGGCGGCGGTGTCTTCAAGCACGACGCCTACGAACACGATCCCACCGAATGGTGCTGGATCCACAAGAGCTCCGGCATCAAGGCGCGGCCGGCGCGATTTGACGCATTTCGTCCTGCCACGCTGTGACGCAGCAGACTCGCTCCAACCCCTCAGCAGCAGCTCCTGGCAGGTCTGGCAGGATGCCCTGGACCTGACTCAGTCCAGTGGAAGTGGCGAAGTCGAGTGCTTCTTTCATTACACGACTCAGTTGGGGTTCCGAAACATCACGGCTCCACAGAAGAAAGCCGTTGAAGTCTTCGTGCTGCACTGCCAATCAGCATGTCATGTGATGTCATGTGTCTTTTTGCCCGCTCACCTTGCCGATGGCCACAGCCTTGAGCATCCAAAGGCCTCGTTGGTCACCACGGGTCCGAAGGCCAATGCGTGGTGGGGACAAGGCAAGGTCACATTCATCAAAGCTGACAAAACGTGAGCATTTGCAGACCCTTGTGTCCACTGCAAACAACTCTGACGAGGCGTTTACAGTGTCAGAAGGGCACCGGATGAATGGCCAGACGTGGCCACGCTGATTGACAATAACTATCGGAATATGCATAAGAGGGATGTTGAATCGAAAGGCCGTGAGGCAGCGGACGAGGAGAGTGTGCCTTTCTTAGGTGCCGCATTTCTTGTCCACATTTTTGGTGCAATTTTTGGATGCGCACATCGTCATTGTTTGGAGGTTAACAAACCCAGATCCAATCATGCAGGAGTATTCCTCCCGTGTGGCTTACTGTATTCCACTCTTAGCCAACTCTGCCATATGCTACGACGTTTCGATTCAACAGACGCCGGAGATGCAGAAGGAGGCTGGTAGCATGCTTTGCCTGGAGCGAAACCGATTTCGCGTGGACATTTTCTGCAGCACTTGGCTTGTGACTCATCTTTGCTCTGCGGGGCCAGGGCAAGCCTCCCGGCGTGCCAGGGGCCCAGTCCTTGAGTGCTTCATGTGAAATCTGATGAGCACGCCATTTAAACGTTGCTTTCAAGCCTGTGGCGCAGGAACCTGGCAGGAAAGCTGCTGAATGAACGTGGGCAGCCAGAGAGGCAGTGCGTCGTGATCCGGGCTCAAAGGGAGAAGGAAGTGGGCCATGCCAGTGCAGTGCTGCTGGACACGAAGCCTGGCTGCTTTCAGGGGCTTGGAGCTTGGGTCTTGAGTCAGCTTGCCATCCAGGGTTATGGCTGTTCAATCCAGGGGTTTGGTCCTTTGAGCTTGCCATATCCAGGAGTTAGGATTCGTCCAGTAGGATTAAATCAGGTGGGCCGAGTTCAAGACTTCTATTAGAAAAATGATCCAGAGGGCTGACAAGTTTTTGTTTTTTCATGAATTCTCAAGTTCGAGATGCACACTGGTCCCTTCGATAGATTTGGACCAGAGCCAACGTGATTTCAAAAGTTTCAAGTGTTTTTGATGCAGCCCTGCGGGCTGTTTTAGCTGCTCTCTTGCTCTCATCTTGCCTTTCCTTCTTCCGGGATCTCTGGTCACGTCGCTCGCTCCCTGGCAAGTTTACGGAACCTCTCCTGTGGGTCAAAGTATAATGGTCGTGGCAGGATGGATACCAAACAGAAAGCACGAAGCTCAAGCTCTGTTTCGAGAGCGGGGGCGCTTGTCAATCCAGTATTTTGCATTCCAGATCTAGAAAGGTACACCGCAAGATAAACACACTGTTTGTCCTGGCTCGGGCTCTTTGTCCTGCAATTGAAAGCATCAGGGAGTAATGGCATGGAGCAGAATCGCTTGATGTTTGATCTTGCCACCTGACCATTCACTTTAAGATGTGGAGAAGGCGTGACTCAGGTTCTGGAACTTTGAAACTCTTTCAGGAGTGCCCGCGCGACATTGCCTTCTGAGATTTCTTGAGTACGGCCCACTTCTAGTTTTATAGTATCTATCGGCTATATTCGTCTATGCCATGTCTATTGACTATGCTATGAGTTGACTTGAATTACCCGCTCCATTTAGGACAAACGTAAAAACATATGGTTGAAGATCCCGCAAAGCAGGGACCATGGATTGCAGCCCAGTAGCCAGCTTCTGACTGAAGCCGGGAGCCATCCCACACCTTGACGATTTTGCGCACCGTTGGCCATTCTCTTGAACTTGATTTGTCTTCCATGTTGGTGACATGGTCGACCACCGCATTGCCATGTGATAGGCACAGCCATGTGATAGGCATCATCATGGACCAAGGCTGCGGTGCCGTGCAGATGCCACAGCCGAAAGATTGGGCCTTGAGCACGAATTTGCGCTTTTGGCACTGAGCCGGTGCGGACCTCAGTCCCTCCAAAGAGACCAACACATTAGCAAACATGTACTGTTGAGTCAAGAACTGTATTGTCTTGTCACCATAGATTTGGATCCAGAAATATGCCACAAAGCTGCAAAGTGAAAGCTGTAGATCGCAGTAGGCCACAGTATTTACAACAAGCATCAAATAGCATCAAAAAGTATAGCCTGTAGCAACTGCTCAAGTGAAATCACAACAAATCGAATCCCAGAATCTCGTTTTCCCACCAGGGACTTGGATCCAAAAATCTGCCACGACACCACAAATAGTTTAAAAAAGTGCCCTCTCTCCACGGAGCCGTGGCGAACTTTTCGGCTCCCGTGGCGCTCCACGGCCGAGGCTCGCCTCGGTGCTGGAGGCGCGCGGCGCCTTGGCCGAGGCCGAGCCGCTGCTGCGCCGAGACCTGGAGGCCACAGAGCGGCAGCTGGGCCCCGAGCACCGCGAGACGCTCACCGCGGTGGGCAACTTGGCAGTTGTTCTGAAGCACCTGGGGAAGTTCAGCGAGGCGCCGCTGATGTGCTGTGCTGCAGTCACCGTGGCGGGTGGATGGTGCTGCATTTTGTATTGGGAAAAGTTGGGAAAATTTGCAGGGAAACAATCAACGCATTTTCAGATCATTTCAGAATTTTGTCATCTATGTAGAAGTGCGATAATGCATGAACAATGAACATGTCAATTTTACGCAAATCATCTCAAATCATCTCAAATCATCTCAAATCACGTCATGTATGGACGTGCCAAAACATGGACATGTCAAAGTTTAGCAAAAGATGTTTGCAAAGAACAGATGCCGCGTTGCAAGTTTCAGTCTGAGATGTCTGAGGCTGTCAAAGCGTTTTTGCAGAAAAAATCACAGAACAGATGCACCCTGAGGTTGGAGTTTATTTGCAAATGGAAGATTGGAACGACGATGACTCACATCCAAATTTTGTTGAAATGTCAACTCGTCGAACTTTGCGTTTTATTCTTTTTTTCTTTTTTCGGTGGGAAGGGGAGGAGGGGGGGGGGTGGGAGGGGGTCAAGGCGTTTTTTCTTTTTTTTGTCATTTTTTTTATTCTTCAAGTTTTGAATTATGTGTGCATCTTATATGGTACAATTGTACTTGACATCTTTTTCATCAGTCATCAGTCCAAACTCAAGGCCGTTGCCCACCTTTCTTCCCTTTCCACATAGTACTCGCAGGCGGATCCTGGCCTGCAGGCCCCACACCACCGATGCCATCCCGAGCCGCCAGGCGGAGGCCCTGCACCGCCGAGCTCTTGCAGGGCGCGAAGCACACCTCGGTGCGAATCATCCGCACACGCTTCAGTCCATGAACAACCTGGCGATCCTCCTGCAGCAGCAGGGAAAGCTGGCTGAGGCGGGGCTGAGGTCTTTTGGATGGAGAGAGGTGACCTTCCTGGAGGGCGTTTTTCAGGGACATATTTTTTGTGTGGCCAAGGCCTGAGGCCCGGATTCTTTCTTTTCGATTTCCAAATATTCGTTGGATTGCTTTCTTGGGCGTAATACATTGTTGGGACCTCCATCCACATTTCATAGTTGTAATTGGCAAAATGAAAATATGGCAAAACTGTCAAATCTTTCGGGTGAATTCCTGCAAATGAATGCAAATGAGGCCTATAGCATATATAGGCGCATGCTGAATGAAAGTATGGCATCTCCGGCATCTCTGAGATGCCAGGCGGAGGCCCTCAACCGCCGAGCTCTTGCAGGGCGCGAAGCGCACCTCGGTGCGAATCACCCGGACACGCTCACCTCCATGATCAGCCTTGCAGCGCTTCTGCGGGAGCGGGGAAAGCTGGCTGAGGCGGGGCTGAGGTCTTTCGTGAAGAGAGGTGGTGACCTTCCTGGAGGAAGTTTTTCAGGGGCATATTTTTTGTGTGGCCAAGGCCTGAGGCCTGGATTCTTTCTTTTCGATTTCCCAATATTGGTTGGATTGCTTTCTTGGGCGTAATACATTGTTGGGACCTCCATCCACATTTCATAGTTGTAATTGGCAAAATGAAAATATGGCAAACGGCAAAACTGTCAAATCTTTCGGGTGAATTCCTGCAAATGAATGCAAATGAGGCCTATAGTATATATAGGCGCATGCTGAATGAAAGTATGACATCTCCGGGGCCCCCATACTGTTCCCATCTCCGAGATGCCAGGCGGAGGCCCTGCACCGCCGAGCTCTTGCAGGGCACGAAGCGCACCTCGGTGCGAATCACCCAGAGACGCTCTCCTCCATGTCCAACCTGGCGATCCTTCTGGAAAAGCAGGGGAAGCTGGAGGAGGCGGGGCTGAGGGTCTTTGGGGTGAGAGGTGACCTTACTGGACGTTTCACCAAGGGCATATTTTTGTTTGGCCAAGGCCTGGGGCCTGGATTTTCTCTTGTCAATTTTCCAATATTGCTGGATTACCTTTTTTGGGGCGCAATACATCGTTGGGACCTCCATCCACATTTCATAGTTGTAATCGGCAAAATGAACACATGGCAAAGCTGTCAAATCTTTCCGGTGAATTCTTGCAAATTAGGCCTATAGATGGCTATAGTATAAATATATCTATATAGGCGCATGCTGAATGAAAGTATGACATCTGCAGGACCCCCATACTGTTCCCACTCGTTTCCTGGTTGCAGCCGGCAACCCACGAAAGCTGTGCGATTGATATTGATATATGGAGATTTACATATATAATCATATATATATACACTGTATATGGTAGTTTGCATACCGCAGTGACTACACAAATTGCCTGACACTTACGTTGCTAGTTTGTAGTGCCGCAGCGGCGCCACCTCGAGCCGCCAGGCTGAAGAACTGCAACGCAAAGCGCTCGCAGGGCGTGAAGCGCAGCTGGGCGCGAGCCATCCCGACACGCTAATCTCCGTGAACGTTCTCGCTGGTATCCTCGAGTCGCAAGGCAAATTGGAAGAGGCCAGACCGAGGTCGGGGGCAGAGAGGTGACCTTCCCCGTGGAAGTTCCAAGGGGAAGGCGCTTTTTTTGAAGCAAACAAGAGTGGAAGAGTGGACACTTCCACGTCTCCAATTTGTGCATCTCCTAAGTTTCGCCCAAATTCATTAGTTGAATTGCTCGGGCATGAAATCCATACATGCAATGTGCATCAGGGTTGATGCCAAGGATCTGTCCTACAATTCAAAACAGGTGAGTCAACCTTGGGAACCGATCAGCCGCTTGCATTTTCCCGCAATCTAAAGCTATGAAATCTCAGCGGAAAACTAAGAAAAGTACAAACTCCTTTCAAAGAGTTGCATCACTGACAGACTCAGAATCTTTGGGGTTTGTTAGGCAAAAGAAAACTGTACGGCTTGTGACATCACACTGGGAAACACAACAGCATAGTGATGATGAGTGATGTCAATACTGTACTAATTTGGCGCAGTTCAACACACGCCCTAGATTTTTGTGTTTCCAAAATCAGTCAGCCAAGGCTGTTTGTAAGACCCTTCTTCACGATACCAACACCTCTTTAATTGATTAAACCCGGGCTCTTGATTCTATGTGCAAGAGTTTCCGGATCACTATAAAACGCATGCAGCATATTTCCATATGGGCGACTGAGGCCACATACAGCTTATTGATTTGAGAACGATGACGAAAGCGGGCAATGATTGCCCCAGGAGTGTGACGTAATCCCAGCAGGATCAAAATCAGCTAGATGGGAATGATCGTGTGTCAGTTGTTTGTGTGAGGAATCTGTGAAAGTCTGAAGCTATGAACGTGAATTGGCACGTTAAAGTGGTTTGCGAAGAGTCTTCAAAACGCTGAACAAAACGCAGCTTGCCAAAAGGTTGCCAACAGGTACAGGCTCAACGTCCCT